GGGGACAGCTCTTCCGGCCGCTGCTGTGCTCGGTCCCTTTTCAGAGCGGCTGTGACCGCGGGGACAGCCCCCGACCAGTGGGTAAAGCTCTCCTTCGGTGCTTCGGTGGCCTAGCCATGACCGTGCCTCTCTCACTGGTGCGCACACAGACAGACGGGGACGGCAGAACGCTGCTGTCCTCTGGAAGCGGAGGCCGTGACAGTCGGTTTGGAAATAGTGCTGAGAACCCTGTGATGAAATGACAGGAGCTCGCGAAGGGATTGTCCCCTCAATCCGCCGCGCGTGTGGGCAGGACACAGGAGAGCGCTCCTGGTGAAGGGGTGGCTGGAGGGCTTGGCTCCCTGGGGAGAGCTCTGGACCCCGCCTGGTCGGCCAGCCTGCTGCATGCCCCGCCCACTGTCTCCACGGCAACGCACTTCGCTGCCGCCCGGGAGAATTGCTGCAGTAACTAGTCTGATGTTTCCTTTTTAATGATGTTTCGTTTATTCCTTTTGCTAGCGGGGTTGCCTTTTGCGATCCTTTCTTCGAGGCATGCCCCCTTCCAGCGAGGACTGTTCTGTAGCGATGAGTCCATCAAGTACCCTTACAAAGAAGACACCATACCTTATGCGTTATTAGGTGGAATAATCATTCCTTTCAGTATTATTGTCGTAAGTTAAATCCACTTTTTCCACCTTTATAACTTCTAGTCAGTTGGCTTAATTTTTGTGTTAATCTGTTGATGATTGAATGTATAAACCTGTAAAACAATGTGTGTTTTTTAACCTTTAATTAAAGGTGTAATTTGATCAAGATAATTTTATTTCAGGTGGGACCAAAAAAATACCAATGTCTAATTAGAAGAACGTGTTGAATAAGTGTGTCCCTGTGGTGGTCAGAGTTCTAGTCTGCTGGTCAGTGGTCACGCAGCGGACGCACGTCAGTGTCCGGGCCCCACTTTGTCCAGAGGTTCGCAGTGTCTTGTCGCTCACTGGCTCTGGGCCTGCTTCAGAGCTCTGGACAAGATCTGCCGACTGACGTTAAGACTTCATTCAACCCGTGTTTACTTCAGAGTTTTTACAAAATGCCCGAAATGGAAGAGAAAAGCCAAAGTTCTGTAGATAGTTAGCAGTGACTATGAAAGAATGATGACTGTCCTGAGATGCCCAGACGCTGTTCTTGTCCAGGGTTTCGGGGGGGCTTAGGGGAGTGCTGGAGGGAGCACACCTCACATGCCCAGACTCGGTAGTTTTTGTAATGTCTTGACCTAGAGATGCCGTGATTTAGATTTGTTTAACGCTTCATAACTTGTAACTTTAGAAACACAATTTATCTCTGTTAAAAGCAGAAAGTGTGGTCCCATCCGTGAGATTGGCCAACAAGGTAGTAGCAGTATGTTTTGTCAGTTTGGGAGTTAATTTTTTTTTAAAAAAGACACTTCTTAATTTAGAAATTTCACGTCTTATTCAAGAATGATCACAGCTTCTTATTAGCATTGAGAGTTAGCTCGTAAAATGTGTGGTACAGAGAGAGGTTCGCTTCCTGAGACGAGCCCTTGGAGGCAGAGACGGGCACCTTGTCCACCTGGCCTGCCACGTGCGGGGCGCTGGGGTGAGCCCCAAGTAGCCGTGCAGTTCCATTGGTGATTCTCCTAAGGAGGGAGAAGACGTGAGAGCTAGTGATCCTCTACTCTCAGGTCTTGTACGGAGTTTTCCCTACTGAAGGGAAGAGAGCCAAGCTGTGCTTCTCCCGTGCAGGGTGGAGCAAGGTGCAGGCCTTTTGTAAGCGTGTGTTTCTGAGAGATTACTGTTTAAATAGAAACATTTAGTAGGACTCGTAGTTGCAAATAGTAGCTGGTTTCGGACAAGACTCAAGTATGCAGACACCGCCCCCAGCACACCTGTCTGTCGGTCTGGTGTCCTGCACACTCAGGGCTGCTCACTGCGGAAACCACTCAGCCCGGGGCCGGGCCGCACTGCAGGACGGTGCCCACGGCCACGCACCCAGGGCCGCGCTGCAGGACGGTGCCCACGGCCACGCACCCAGGGCCGCGCTGCAGGGCGGTGCCCACGGCCACGCACCCAGGGCCGCGCTGCAGGACGGTGCCCACGGCCACGCACCCAGGGCCGCGCTGCAGGACGGTGCCCACGGCCACGCACCCAGGGCCGCGCTGCAGGACGGTGCCCACGGCCACGCACCCAGGGCCGCGCTGCAGGGCGGTGCCCACGGCCACGCACCCAGGGCCGCGCTGCAGGGCGGTGCCCACGGCCACGCACCCAGGGCCGCGCTGCAGGACGGTGTCCACGGCCACGCACCCAGGGCCGCGCAGGCCCCCCAGGTGGTGAGGCCACAGAGGAGGCAGCTTCAGGGTGGGCTTTGCAGAAGGCTGGGAGTGGGCTCGGAGGCAGGACGAGACGTTCCCGAGACGGAACCGTGGCTGCCATGTGCAGTCACACGCACAGGCCTGCGCTCACTTGGAAGATGGGCTCGGAACTCTTGTCTGTCTCAGGGAAGGTGGAGCACAGGATCAGGGTGAAGTGAGTCGGCCCAGCGTTTGTCCATTTTCCAGCCCCCCTTCCCGTACGAAGGGCCAGGGTTCCACTTACACCACTTCTGGGGATCAGCTCTTGGCCTGTGCCCACGCTCTGAGCGCCCCCGGTCAGCGAGCCCGTCTCCAGTGACGGGAGCCAGGTCCGGAGTGCCGGCCGCTGGGGCAGGAAGGCTGGGGAGCCGAGCGCGCCTCCTGGGAGCCGGCAGAGGCTGAGGTGCGGGCGGCCTGCTGTCCTCGCTGTTCGATGAGTATGCTTGGCACACAGTTTTTTTTTTTATCCTCATCCAAGGACATTTTTGCATTTGTCTTCAGATAGAGCGGGAGGGAGAGCGGGAGGAAGAGAGAGAGAAACATCGATGTGAGAGACACATCGAGTGGCTGCCACCCACACGACCCCAACCGGGGCTGGGGGCAAGCTGCGACCAAGGTACGTGCCCTTAGCGGGAACTGAACCCGGCCTCTCTGGTGGGCCGTGGGCCAAGGCTCTAAGATGCTCTAACCGCTGAGCCAAAACGGCCAGGGCGGTGCATTTTTTTTTTTAATTTTTTTTTATTGATATTAGAGAGAGGAAGGGAGAGGTAGAAACATCGATGAGAGAGAACATCGATTGGCCGCCTCCTGCACGTCCCCCACTGGGGATCAGGCCCACAACCTGGGCATGTGCCCTGACCGGGAATCGAACCGGTAACCTCTTGGTGCAGGGTTGACGCTCAACCACTGAGCCACACGGGCCGGGCCTTGGCACATATTTTAGTAGAGAAATTCTTTCTTGCTGCTGGTCTGTCGAGGCTGGTGCTGGGACACCTTAGCAGCCCAAGGACGGTCTAGACGTCAGTGCCTGGCACCGGCGGGTGGGGGCCAGGGCTCTCCCTGGCACAGCTGCACAGGGGCGTGCCTGGTTCTCTCCTTGGACCTGCTCTCCAGGAGAGGGTGGGCGGAGTCATTCCCGCCTGGAGGAGGAATCTGTTTCCACGGGGCTGTGTGCGAACTGAAGCGGTTGCCTTGACTCCAGAGGCAGGCAGCATCTCTCCACCTGCTGAACCCTGTGGGGGCTGCTAGTCAACAGGCAGCATCTCTCCACCTGCTGAGCCCTGTGGGGGCTGCTAGTCAACAGGCAGTATCTCTCCACCTGCTGAGCCCTGTGGGCTGCTAGTCAACAGGCAGCATCTCTCCACCTGCTGAGCCCTGTGGGCTGCTGGTCAACAGGCAGCATCTCTCCACCTGCTGAGCCCTGGGGGCTGCTGGTCCACAGGCAGCATCTCTCCACCTGCTGAGCCCTGGGGGCTGCTAGTCAACAGCCGAGCATTCATTCTGCCTTTCGTAGACCACAGTCTGGCCGTCAGACTTGCAGTTGGTCAGGAACGCCAGGAGTTACTGAGCCTGGGAGGAAAGCGTTTTCGGCAGCCGGTTCTTGAACCCTTTCACGAGGCAGCACTCACTCCCCCTGGGCGCTGCTCCCCCACAGGCCTGTTCGAACACCGTGAAGTTGCTCATGTAAACTGAGCACTGTGATGTAAAACGAAGCAGTGAAGTTAGTACATATCTTCAGTGAAACCTATGTCCCACCTCAGCGTACATTAACAAGCTGACTGGTCTTGTTTAAGTGTTTATTTTGGTCTCAGGCGCTAGAGTGTGGCTTATTTTATTAGCAAATGTAATTTTTTATAATGTTGCCATTCAGTATTTTAAAAATTTCTCAGGGTATTAGTCTGTGAACTTGTAAAGTATTTGGAAACCTTTTTATGCCTTTAAACTCATTACATAGACATGCTGTGCTGGAATCTGAGAAGGTTGAACTCCGCTTCTCCAAAGTCAGTGAGAAGTAGAGAGGAGAGAGGCACTTGAAATGTTTTCTTGGAGGAGCATCAGGTGTGTTTGATCTTTTAACAGGACGTGTCAAGGAAGCCCAGCCCACGGGTCCCCTGGAGGGGCCGCAGGGAGCCCCGTACCCATTGGGACGGGAGCCCGGCAGCCAGCCGGGATAATCCCTGCTTGCACATTCAATTTTTTGTGGTTGTTGTTGTTTATATTCGATTTTTTTACTTTTTTACTCTCCCCCTCTAATCTGATGGGTGTCTTGGTTCTAGGGATGTCTGATAAAAACGATGTCAGAGACTTACAGAAGGGACATCCTACTTGGGGGAGTTTGTATTCTTTGAACACACCATGTTTTTGTCCACATCACGTGTACTAACTAAAACTCAGTTTATTTCAATACAAGAAGGAAACAACGTTGTATTTCAGCACAGACGACCGGGCCTGGCCATGGCTGTCAGAATACCCACAGTTGATGTGATACCTTTTTGTGGTTTAGATACCCTAAATTGACTTGCCATTGGTGAAGGGGAAAAGGGGATGGTTGTTTTAAAAATAATTTTATTGTGATTTATCATTTTGTTTTCTATTTTTAATTTTGTTTAAAGTGCCTGGTTGCTGTTTTAACATAACTATCTTTCTGTTTCTTTTTCAGATGATTGTCGGAGAAGCCCTGTCTGTCTACTGTAACCTCTTGCACTCGAATTCCTTTATCAGGAATAACTACGTAGCCACTATTTACAAAGCCATCGGAACATTTTTGTTCGGTGCGGCCGCCAGTCAGTCCCTGACCGACATAGCCAAGTACTCGATAGGCAGACTGCGGCCTCACTTCTTGGACGTCTGCGACCTCGACTGGTCCAAGATCAACTGCAGCGATGGCTACATTGAGTACTACGTGTGCCGAGGGAACGCGCACAAAGTGAAGGAGGGCAGGTGTGTGCTCCTGGGACCCGGGGCCGGGGCCGGGCGCCGAGCCGCTCACCGGCCTGGAGAGGCCGGCGTGGGCCTGGGAGGCGAGCGGGGACCCCGTCTGTCCTCGCCCTGTGCCCCTCCCCGCTTCACCCCGTCCTCTGTTTGAAAGCTTTTTAATGCAGCTGTTTTCCTCTCCGAGGGAATCACGTGAATCACGTGACATGAACCCGTAAGTCATTAGCAGTCCAGGGAGCGGATGTCCCCAGGTCCAGAGAGCAAACCTAGGCTCTGCGGCCACGCGGCCACTCGACAGTTGTCCAGCTCGGCAGGCGGAGCAGGAAGCAGCAGCCAAAGGCGGTCGTGGCGTGAATGGACGTGGCCGTGTCCCAGTAAAACTTTATTCACGTGAACAGTGGCTGCCTCGGGTTAGGGTTTGCTGACTTCTGATCTAGTCAGCCCTGCGTGAAGCTCTGTAAGATCAGTATTCCTGGAGTGTCCTTTTTGTGAAGTCACTTCATCCATGTCTTGAGAGCTCTCAGGCTTCAGGTTGCCTTCCTATAACAAACACCCTTGGCCCTGGCCAGTTTTGCTCAGTGGTTAGAGCGTTGGCCTGCGGTCCAGAGAGACCCGGGTTCGGTTCCCGCTGAGGGCACGTACCTCGGTTGCAGTTTGTCTCCGGCCCTGGTTGGGTTGTGCGGGTGGCAGCCACTCGATGTGTCTCTCTCACATTGATGTTTCTTTCTCTCTCTTCCTCTCTTTCCCTCCCACTCTATCTGAACAACAAGAATAAAATGGAAAAATGTCCTTGGGTGAGAATAAAACAAACAAAACAGACGCCCTTGTTGGGCTACTGTCAGCATCTGGAGCGCTGTTGGAATGCATGAGGCAGAAGGTGGGGAGCTCAGTGACATCAGCAAAGCACCGGTTGGTGGCAGAGCCGAGACCTCACCTCGGGTTTCAGAATTGTCAGCCGTAGCGTTTCAGTGTGATTCACCTTTTCATATCTTACAAGATTGCTGTCCATTTCCCTTAGCTGTCCTTCGTCCAGCAGATGCTTTCTCTGGGTAGCACGTCCAGATTCCAGATTATGTCGATTCCTGTACACTGATTGTCGTCCTTGGTTCCCTGGTGCCCGACACCGGGTGTAACTAGGTGCTCACTGTGCTGTGTGCTTGATTGTCGTCCTTGGTTCCCTGGCCCAACACCGGGTGTAACTAAGTGCTCACTGTGCTGCGTGCTCAGGACTCAGCCGTGGACCAGGCCCTCGTGGAGCTCAGTGTGGCCGGGGAGACGCACAATGAACAGGTGACGACAGTGGCAGAGACCCTTCTCGCGGTAGCAAAGCCAGGCCAGAGAGGCTGCTCAGGGACACGCGCTGAGGTGCTGTGAGGGCTGAAGTGGGTGCCGAGTCCTCACGAACGAAGGAGGGAAGGGACTAAAGCTGTGGGTGGTGGATACGCAGAGGGAGGAGGCAGCCGCACTGATTTGAGCCCAGGTGGGCACTCGTGTAAGGGGCAGTGATGAAGCCACCAACACCGGCCCTGGGCTCATGGTGTGGGTGTGGCGGGGTCATTCTGAGCTTTGACAGTGCTCCAGGCCAAGCAGTGCCCCAGGGAGAGGCCCTTCAACGCCACCGTCAGGGAGGAGTCTGGACACGGGGAGACAGAGGACGTGGCCGTAGAACTGGGGGTGCAGTGTCCAGGGAGGAGCTGAGGCGCAGGGGATGGACAGAGGGCTGGTTGGAGAAGCAGCAGCTCATTTTGATAGACATCAGTTCTGATCTACAGAGCAGTTTGTGAAGAACTGCTATCTCGATAGAGTCCTTCAGCCTGTAACTGTGGTATATCTCTTCCTGTATTTAGTTTTCTTTAGTTTCTCTCAGCAGTATTTTTTTGTTTCCAGTGTCCATGTCTTGTACACATTTGGTTAAATGTCAGTAAGGTTTTAGTGTTTGTTGATGCTGTTGTGAAAAGGTTTTAATAATTTTCTTTTTTTAAATCCTCACCTAAAGACATTTTTTTCCATTTTTTGTTCAGATAAAGTGGGAGGGAGAAGAGAGGAAGAAAGAGGGAGAGAGGGAGAGAGAGAGAGAGAGAGAGAGAGAGAGAGAGAGAGAGAGAGAGAAACATCAACGTGAAAGGGACACCCACCACTCGCACGACCAACCAGGGCCGGGGACAAACTGCAACCGAGGTACGTGCCCTTAGCAGGAACCGAACCCGGGTCTCTCTGGACCGCAGGCCGACACTCTAACTGCTGAGCCAAACCAGCCAGGGCAGGTTTTAATAATTTTTTAAAATCAATTTTCAATGTTTATTGTGTTGAGAAATGCAGTGGTTTTATATTGCTTTGAATCCTGAAATATTGCTAATTTAACTAATTTATTAGTTGGAGTAACTTGTAGATTCCTCAAGGCTTTCTGCTGCTGTTTGTGCCGTCTGTGAATGGAGAACCCACTCTTCTCTCCCGTTCTGCTTGTCTTCCGCGCCCCAGTGGCCAGGGCTCCCGGACAGTGTGGGGACAGTGGCGAGAGCAGAGGTGCCCCTCCCTGCCCCGGGTGGAAAGCGTCCTTAGTGGTTCGCCATGAAGCATGTTGACCCGTGTGTGTCCGTTAGATTTTTTCACGGACGTGTGCTGGATTTTGTCAGATGTTCTTCCTAAGGTCTTGGGATGGCCGTATTGTTTTCTCTTTTAGTACAGTGTATTTAATCAGTTTTGAAACATTAAAGCAACTTTTCATTCCCGGGATAAACTCCATGGGGTCATGGTGCGTTATATTTTTCATATGAATTGAATTTGAGTTACTAATACTCTGTTGAGGATTTTTGCTTCTATGTGCATGAGTGTCACTTGTCTGTAATTCTTGTGTGCAATTTCTGTCCAGCTTTGGTGTCAAGTGTTCGGTATTAAATGTTTGGTGGAGTTTTCTAAACTATGATTTTATAATTTAAAATAGATGTAGGGCTTTTCGGGGAGTCTCTTTCTTGTACGGTTTGGCCATTTGTCTCTGACGGGATTTGCCCGTTCCACCTGGATCATCACGCCGGCCTCTGGCTGTTCACGGTGTCCCCGTCCGGGGCCCTCGCTGCCTGGAGCCCGCCCTCCCCCCTCGGCCCTCACCCCACCCCTCGCTCCTCGCCCCTCCCCCTCGCTCCTCCCCCTCCCCCCTCGGCCGGGCTGCTCGTTTCTGCTGGTCTGGCTGCAACTTCGTTGCTTTCATTCATCTGTTAGTTTCTTTTAGGTTCCTTGGTTTTTCCTCTGTTGTTTTTCTGTATTCAATTTAATTTATTTCTGCTTTTATTCATTTCCGCTCGCTTTCAGTTTAATCAGTTCTTCCTGTAGTTTCACAGGTGAGACTCAGGTCACTGGCGGTGTCACCTCCCGCGGCCGCCTACCCGGCGCGCTTCCTGATTTCCCTGGTGCTCCGTCCAGTGCCTGTCCGCCCTCCTGTCCGCCCTCCTGTCCGCCCTCCTGTCCGTCCTCCTGCCCGCCCTCCTGCCCGCCCTCCTGCCCATCCTCCTGTCCACTCTCCTGCCCGTCCTCCTGCCCGTCCTCCTGTCCGCCCTCCTGTCCACCCTCCTGCCCGCCCTCCTGCCCGCCCTCCTGCCCGTCCTCCTGCCCGCCCTCCTGCCCGCCCTCTTGTCCGTCCTCCTGCCCATCCTCCTGTTCATCCTCCTGCCCGCCCTCCTGCCCATCCTCCTGCCCGCCCTCCTGCCCGCCCTCCTGCCCGCCCTCCTGCCCGCCCTCCTGCCCGCCCTCCTGCCCATCCTCCTGTCCACTCTCCTGCCCGCCCTCCTGCCCGCTCTCCTGCCCGCCCTCCTGCCCGCCCTCCTGCCCGCTCTCCTGCCCGCTCTCCTGCCCGCCCTCCTGCCCGCTCTCCTGCCCGCCCTCCTGCCCATCCTCCTGTCCACTCTCCTGTCCGTCCTCCTGTCCCGACTGCTGGTTCAGTTACACTGCAGACTGTGTGACTAGGCTCCCGTGTGGAGGGCATGTCCTTGCCCGGGGGGTGGGGTGCGGAGGGCGTGTCCTTGCGGGGGGGGGGGGGCGGGGGCGTGTCCTTGCGGGGGGGTGTGGGGGTGCGGAGGGCGTGTCCTTGCGGGGGTGGGGGGGTGTGCCTCTGGAGAGGTCGCTGTGCTGCACTCCCGACGGCTGGAGACTCGCCCCACCTTCTGTCCATACCGATGCGTCCTAGAGGCCTTCGTCCGCCCTTCAGGGTTCGCCGGCTCTGCCACAGCGACTGGCTTCCCTGTGTTCTTTCCTGTCCCCCGGCTTTTGCTTAGTTTCTTCTGTGATTCTGTTGTTCAGTGTATTTTGAGTCTTTTTTTCCCTGTATGTGCCTTTTTTCCTATGAAATGTCTCTAGACGTTCTTCTGCGTTGAGTCTTGTCTGATGTTGCTGTCGAGCCAGCTCCAGCTCTCCTGTGTGTACTGTTTGGATTGTATGTATTTTCCATAAATAAAATTTCAGTTTATTCGAGGCTTTGACCGTCAAACATGTTTGTGGGATGTTTAAAGTATGTAGTTGGATCTTGTTTATTCTTTTAACCCAGGCTGAAAGCGCCTGCTTTCTGGTCGGAGTCTGTTGATTCACATCCGGTGTCCTCAGGGTTAGCTGCCGCCTCGCTCTTCCCGTTTTTCTTTCTCTGAAAATCGAGCTGTAAGTGACTTTCAGCATAAACTAGTTTTGGGTGTCATTTCTTTTTTCGTCTCTTTTAAGTTCTGTGTCTCCTATACTGCTTTCCTTTGTATCACACAACTTCTTTTTATCTTTACCTGAGGATATTTTTCCATTGATTTTTTTTTTCTTTTTAGATAGAGTGGGAGTGGGGGAGAGAAACATCGATGTGAGAGAGACTCATCCAATTGGTTGCCTCCTGCACAACCCCGAGGGGGGACGGAGAGGGAACCCACAACTGAGGTACGTGCCCTTGACTGGGAATTGAACCCACAACCTTCGGTCCTCGGACTGATGCTTTAACCACTGAGCCAAACTGGCCAGGTCTACATAATTTATTTTTTAGT